GGTACGGGCGCGACACTGAGGGTTGCGATCCGTTGCTGGACACGAAAAAAGACAAAAAAAAAAAAAAAAAAAAAAAAAGAAAGAAAAGAAAGAAATGATAGCGACCTCCTAGTCGCCATGCCCCAGGCCTCTTCTCAGTGTTCACTTTCTAGAATTTTGTGCTGCTTGGAGCTCTTTTGCCAGGTGCTGGGATACATTAATGGGTCTCCTCCTCTCTTCTGTCTGTAGTCTTTCTTTCTGCCAGGCTTAACCACAGCTGTTCCCTGAGGGTCTCTCTCCTTTCTGATTTGTCCATCTCTAGTTGATATCTCTTCTCTGTAGATGCCACCCGATCTCTTATGTACAGTCCTGACTTTTCTCTACAATATTGGCCCCATGTTTTCAGCTTCTTTTTGATCTTTTAATGTCTTCTGGAATAACTTAAATATCTTCGCAGCACCTCAAATGGAACATGACCTAAACAGAACTCATTGGATTTCTCTTTGTGATCGCTATATTTCTTAATGACAACATCCTCCTCTCAAGAACTCCCTTTTGGCTTCTTTCCTCATACAACCTCCATGTAATATGTTACCAGATCCTACTCTAAGACCTCAGCTCATGTTTCATCTCTCTTCAGCCACTCATTACCTCTCGTCTCATGTTATAATAGCTTCCCAACAGGTCTTTCCAATCTACCCTGAATGAATTAGTCTCCTTAACCTTTTTGGTGTTTTCCCATTGCTTACCATAAAGTCCCAAATCCTTGGCCTGGCCCTCGAGGCTGTCCGTGGTCTGCAGTCTGTGGTCTGTGCCTGACTCAGCTCATTTCTCCCCTCGTTGTGGGATCTGCTGTCCCTGGCTGGGCTTGAGCCAGGGTGATTGTAGGTTCTTGGAGAATTTTATTTCTTTAAAAGATGTCTCTATCAAAGACCTAAATGTGGGCACTAACTCTACAGAATTCTTAGAGAAGACATCTGTAAGTTACTCTAGTATTAGAAAAGATCCTCTAGCCAGAGACATAGCTAGAATATAGAAATGATTCTATAATTGCTCACCTCCTTTTCTTTACTCATGCTGATTTCTTCATGTGTGTGTTTTTATTTTGGTGGCTGGCTGGTGTGGGGATCATGGTGATTTCTTAACCTGAAGATAACCTGTCCCCTGATTTGATTTTCCATGTCTAATTCCTATCCATAAGCCAAATTTTTCACTAAGCTGTCCCTGATTCCTCCAGCTCCTTTATGGTGTATACCACTTTGTGTTTACATAACAATAGTTTAAGTAATTAGAGCTCCCACTTCTAGGCTGGGACTTTCTTATGGGTAGTGACGAGGTCTTAGTTACAAAGGATAGAAATAAATACCATAATGCTTGAGCATAGCAGATATTCAATGAGAATTTTAATGACAATAAATGAATGAAAGAGAAAATACATTTGTTTATTCTTAGCTAACTTTAAATTGTTCGTAGATAGAATATGAGTCTGATTTATATTTATATCCAACAGAATCTAGCATTGTGTTTTATACGTGATACTCAATAAATATTTCTTATATTAATGGTTAGATGTATAATTGATTCTGATGTGAACTTTCTGAATGTTATATTGCTATATTTTACTTTCAGGAATTTAATTTAGGTGTTCTTAATATAGCTGAAACATTTTAAAATATGTTGCTCTTTTGATTGATACTTAATTTTTGTCAGTGATTATTTTTTGTCTTTAAACTGGTTTGCTTTTTTCCTGCATTATTAATTTTGATTTTAACAAATTGCATATTATGGGGGGGAATGCTTTCTTAATTTCACAAAGGAAATTAGAAAGAAAAAGCTTACTTTTTGAGAAAAATGTGAAGGAGCATTTCTATTTATTAGCTCCTGCCTCTGGATATAGGTGGGGTTCTGGGACCAGTAATTATTTCTACAATAGAGGTGGAATAGTTCTCTCCAGAGTCATCATAGCTCCATCCAGACACATAATTTGGATGCTTTCAACAGGGAACAGAGTTGGGCAGCCTTTACTGAGACACCACTGGAGCGCCAGGGGGTTCCCAAACTTGAGTTAACTTAGTTGAACTAAGTTACTCTGCCTACCCTCGATGCCAAGAGGTATATATATATATATATAAATTTTTTTTTTCTGACAGTGAAGGGTACTTGCTAGTCTTCTCTGACAAGCTTTTACTATATAGAATTTGATTTTGATCAGTAAATTAGTAGTACTTGCTTTTAGTCGTTACTTGGTACAAGCCTAAATAGTAATGAAATGAGAAGAACTGACTAGAAAAATATTAGTGATACTTTTGTGATTAGTGTGTCTTTGTGACTGCGGCTGCCTTCAGGTTTATTGCTGCTTCTGGTTTTGTTGTTGCTGTTCTGGAGTTTTGTTTTGTCCCATTTTTGTCTCTTCTAAAACCCATGGGTAAGAATTACCATGACTTAAATGACTTGGTGGAAAGGATAGAAGATGCCTTTGTGTGTTGCTTCTGTGGCACCATTTTAATTACTTATGAGAGAGGAACAATCCTAACTCATATAAAATGGAGGAGCTAGTTACATGATTTGCCCAGGTTTGTGAAGTTGCCTGAATCTGGCAATTAATACTTACAAGAGGTAAGTAGAGTCAGGAAAAGAAAGTCAGAGGATCTAAGGAAAGAAATATACTTCTAGGAAATGCTACAAAATTATTGGATGTGAGAGAGTTTCTAATGCATATTTTAGTAGAACAACCCAGGGTTCACCGAAAAGAACAAAACACAAGCGGTAGACTCCCCCTTTATGAAATATGGGGCATTGTCTGCAGTTATTGGAGGTGTTTATTTCTTCAGAAATGAGTGAGGTGTTTGACATGACAAACTGCTTGAGACAACTTTTATTCACCTGTACCCAGCATTACAGGAATTCGACAGTCTCACGAATGGGAAATTTTTATGCTTTTGGCCCAGTTGTCAATGTGCAATGATATACATCCATTACATATGTTGACATGTCAGCTTGTTTGAAATAATTTTGTTTGCATAATTTGTCTCCCTCAGAAATGAACACACCCGCGAATGCCAGCCGCCTGTGAGCTCCCGGGTCACCTGACAACGACGCTGGAAAGACACAGAGCGGTGGCCTCTGAGACCCACCTCCTCCCCCTTGGCCTGGGCCTTGGCTTTGCCCTTCCCGCGCTCAGTCCACGATGGAGACGCTGTCCCAGGATTCCCTGCTGGAATGTCAGATCTGTTTCAATTATTACAGCCCCCGGCGAAGGCCCAAGTTGCTGGATTGCAAGCACACCTGCTGCTCGGTGTGCCTGCAGCAGATGAGGACGAGCCAGAAGGACGTGAGGTGCCCCTGGTGCCGCGGCATCACCAAGCTGCCCCCGGGCTTCTCCGTGTCGCAGCTCCCCGACGACCCCGAGGTCCTGGCTGTCATCGCCATTCCGCACACTTCCGAGCACACCCCCGTCTTCATTAAACTCCCCAGCAACGGGTGCTACATGCTGCCCCTGCCCATCTCCAAGGAGCGTGCGCTGCTGCCCGGCGACATGGGCTGCCGCCTGCTGCCCGGGAGCCAGCAGAAGTCTGTCACCGTGGTGACCATCCCTGCAGAACAGCAGCCTCTGCAAGGCGGGGCTCCGCAGGAGGCGGCGGCGGAGGAGCCCGACAGGCGGGGCGTGGTGAAGAGCTCCACCTGGTCGGGGGTGTGCACTGTCATCTTGGTGGCCTGCGTCCTGGTCTTCCTGCTCGGCATCGTGCTCCACAACATGTCCTGCATTTCTAAGCGCTTCACTGTGATATCCTGTGGCTGAAGAGGCTGCAGGAAGTGTCTTGTGGGTGCCAACTTAGGGGTTGAGCGGGTGTTGGTGAGGGGATCCCGGTGAGAAGATGGGGGGCGACACTGACCATTTGGTGCCGAGCACTGGCCTCTGGGGTTGCCACTTGGTTCACCCGAAGACAGACATGAGGGGCAGAAGGTGAGGTCTCAACAAGGTACCAGGCGAATTGTTCTGAGTATTGATGGCAACGGCTTTGCCAATGAGTGCATGCGTAGTAAATGACCCTCCTGATCACGTAGTAAATGGACTGTAACTTATGATTTTTCAAAATCACGTTACGACATAGACATTACTTTCACATTAAACTTGTACACATTGTTGTAGGCAACTGTACAATGCGGTATTCTCTAAATGCAGTAGATTAAAACAAAGATGCTGTGTGTACAGGTAGAATTAAACCTGCAAATCTATGTATAAATTCAGTGAAGACACACAGTGCTGGCTTCTTTGCTTTTTTTATTTTTAAATGAAACCCAGTCTTCATTTAGTTGCTAAGCCTTATACATTTTGAATGGCACCCAAATTAAAATAAATTAAACCGACCATCTTTTTTTGGAGAAAATAGTTGAGCAAGCGTCTCCAATGTGTTGTGTTTTGTCACGTACCTTCATTTTTCTTCACTTGTAATTAGAGCTCGCTACGTGTTTGTTAAACTGAAAGCCCAACAGGGGAGCAATAAACCGAGAACTAATGAGAAATGCCTAATCCCACAGGAAACCTGTATGCCAATTTTTCTCAAGCCATCTCACAAAATAAGAATTTAAAATGTAAATATTGTGTATTTGCGTGTATGTGATTTGATTTGCCTCAGGTTTCTGAGCCTTTTCAGAAGAATCCCAGAGGTGAGACTTTGTGAGCATGAAAGAGTCAAGCACCTAAAACGGTGGCCACCTCGTGAGTCCCTGGACCCTCCCAGTGACGTGTCTCCGACACGTCACCTCCGATGCTTGCTTTTCTTCTGTGTCCTTAAGTCCTGTATTTTGTAAGACACGAGTGGAGACTAACATAAGAGTCTGTCTTTTTCCCATCTTTTCAGAAGAATCCCAGAGGTGAGACTTTGTGAGCATGAAAGAGTCAAGCACCTAAAACGGTGGCCACCTCGTGAGTCCCTGGACCATCCCAGTGACGTGTCTCCGACACGTCACCTCCGATGCTTGCTTTTCTTCTGTGTACTTAAGTCCTGTATTTTGTAAGACACGAGTGGAGACTAACATAAGAGTCTGTCTTTTTCCCAGTTTTGGAGTGTTGTAATGACCGTGAGTGCTGTTAACTGATGGCAAACTAGGATGGGCATTTTAATAGACAGTCCGATTATTTTTTGAAAGATGTTGTTCCATGAGAGTTAAACCATTTAGAATTCCAGTTTTCTCTTGTTGGTATAAGTGAGAAAATCTCTTGTATTTCAAAATATATTTTTATTGATGAAAGTGGCGAGGTAAACGCACAATTCACATTCCCAGTGTAAGCGGACCAGCTCCTCATAAATTCTTACATATTCTTCAATGTGTAATGGTCTATAGCTGCTCATGAAGAAAGGTCTACTAGTATTAGTGGTCAATTCCTATCCCTGGGTGCACGCACACTCAGAAGTAGCTGTGAGCTTTATAGTTCTCTCCATTTCTTTTACGGAATTCATGAAGCAAGTGGTATGTGGCAAGGACTCTACTCATAAATATATCGGTTTTTATGTTCCATTGAATCCTTGAAAATGGCAGGGAGTGTGGGGAGAAATGAGGAAAAGATAAGCAGTGATTAATTCCAAAAAGCAAGGCTAGAAAGTAGCCCTGAAAGATTGAGATTAACTGTTACCTTCAAGCAGCATAAAATATGCACATTAAAGTGATGAAATTAATGTGAAATAAAACAAAAATATAATGACTAGAATACAAAGCTAACACTGTTAATTGGCATGAGAATTCAATATGCAATTATGAACTCTGGTTTTTCAAATCTTTCAAATTTGTCATAAGACCTTTAGGAAATGTATTTGAAAGCTCAAACTAGAAATTAGGTTAAAATGCCATTTTATTGTGTAAGCTATTGGGCATTATACAACAAATAATCTAGGATTTGTTTGGTATTAATAATTTAGGTATCATATTAGCTGAATACTATCCTCTCTTACATAACACAATATACTGTTGGGTTAGTGTCAATTTCTCAAACTCTCCCAGGCTGCTGTAATGCATGTCTGACCTAATTTCTATTTCTCTTAGAGGGGGAAAAAAAAAAAGCACCACAGAAATGTGGCATTAAGAATGCCACATTTCAAATGGACTTTACCCTTGCAATTTTAAGCTATGCCATATTCAATTAATTTTGTGAGTGATACCTGCATACATTTATGTACAGTATGGAATGACTGACCCTCTAGAGTAGTATGTGATAGAGTTCTACTTGTGAAGTAGGTTAAATATAGACACTGATGTGTGTGATGATCCAGTGTCCTGTGTTTATTAGTGCAAAGCCGTAGAGTAAAAATGTCCACAGAATTTTACTTAAGAACAGTCCTGTGCTATAGCTGCAATTAAGCAGCGCAAAATTAATTGACTCTGTGGTAGATTCTTGACCTTAATATTTAAGTTAATTATAACAACCAAAATCAGATTTTTTTGTGTGAGTCTTACTGATGTAAGAAAATTGTTTAAATTATTTAAATGGATTCTGCCTGCAGTTATTTGTGTACGTGTTTGTTAGGATGTATATTTGTGTGTGTGTATGTGAGAGAGAGAGAGAGAAAGAGAGAGAGAGAGAAAGATTGGGGGATCTCAGCCTGCCAGATAGAATTTTTATAGGCATAACAATGTTTTAATGTTATTTGGCATCCCATTGCTCTGGCCTCTTCTGGCATTTAACCACTATACTAACTCCACATCTATTCCATGCGACAAAAGTCCGTGACACAGGGGCCAGAATTTATAGTTGCACATCAGTGAAAAGTCACAATTAGAAAGCACAGAAAGTTAGAGTTAAAGCAACCTCCAGTGGCTTCATTTTGTAGATGAGCCCACTGCTGCCTGCAGAGGTGCGTGGCAGCTTGTAATTTCTGCAGCAGAAGGGGGACGAAAACTTTGCACTGCAGTGTCCTTTTGCTCCTTCCTATGTCTGTAGACATCTCCATCTGGCTATGATCCTTTTCAGGGTTAATGAATACCCTTTACTAACTCAACTATTGCTCAAGGTGTGTTTTGTAGGTTTATATACTCTAAAAGTTATATCTACCTCTCTGGGAAACAAAAGGAGAGTTGATTTAGGGATGAATAGAGACATGGAAAGAAAACTATCAAACCATGTGATCTGAATTTTTAAAACTGCAAAACATTGAACCCTCCACCTCCCCATCCCCACTTATATGTAAAATGAGTGCTATGTAAATAGTAAACTGTAAGAAGCATGAATTTTCATCTTTATCAATGACCTTGACATAAGCAAGAGAATGTTTAACGTGTTAAGTAGAGCCAAGTATGCTACCAAAAAGCGTTGTCTTTCGAGAAATTTTTATAATGGCCTGGGACATCAGTTGTGATGAAAAGGCAAATTTCTTAGTCCCAGTCATACTTTATGATCAGAAAGCTCTAACGTATTTTGCTAAAAACATAAATTTAGTCTTATGCATGACTCACAGAGTGTGTCCCTTGAAAGTTAAACCGTGTGTTAGTACAGCCCATGGGATCTTCTCGATTGGCACTGTTCAATAGAACTTTCTGTGATGATGGAAATGTTTCATAACCTGTACTGTCCAATGCAGGAGCCACTGGCCACATTGGCTGGTTAGGCAATTAAAATGGGGTTAGTACGGTGGAGGAACTGGTTTTTTAAATTTTATTTAATTTTAAGTAATTTAAATCTAAATAACCCCATACGCTGGTGGCTACCATATTGGATGGCACAGTTCTGGATGGTTGTACGAGGAGATCTAGCATCAAGTTGTTAATGAAGTAACTAGTGAGGCTAAGAAGAGTTTGTGGGCTAGCAACATGCAGTAGGCAAAAAGAAAAAAATTCCTTTCCGGGCTTAACAAGAGTATGTGACCTCAAGTACGACAGTAAAAATGCATTCATTGCCCTTTGGGGTTATGACTTAGATACTTTGGCCAAGGAATGATCAGTGAAGCTCAAAGAGTGCTTTATTAAGCCCCATTTCTGGGATCATTAGCTGCATGTGAATCTGTTGTCCAAAAACTGTAGTTAGACAATAGCTGTAAAGCGTTTGACTTGCAAGTTATGCATGGCCTGTACTGTGAAATTGTGTTTAGGGTCTTGTGGCCAAAAAGTACATGTTACAGGAAAAAAAAAAAAAGCATAATGAAATCCTTTTCATTTCTAATATCTTACCCAAACATCATTGCTGCATTATAAAGTGTGAAATGTAAGAGCAAGCATGTTTTGCAGTGTTCAGAGTGTTTTTGTTTGCCCTTGAAGTCGGCCAGCTTGTCATTGTATTCGGTGTGGGCATATGTGGACATCATTTTTCTGATGCCAGACTAAAATGTAGGTGCAATTTATAGAGTGAGATTAGCCAATGTTTTAGTACCTCTGTCTCTTTTTTTTTTTCTTCTAATTTTAGTTATCACTGAAAGCATTGAAGATTTGAAGCTTTGCACAAAGGCACTTTTTTTTTTTACAGTAAAGACATTGCCCATGGAATTTAAACACTTGAGGTTTATTAAAGCTACTAGAATGGCTTTTAAAGTGAGTTAAAGGGAAGCAGAAAATTCAGTTTGAGATATATCGTCATATAGAGATCAGACTCTTACTGATAGTCTGATATTTATTCCAGTCTAGATTTTGATTTGAAGAGTTTCCATTTTTTATTTGAAAACTTGTGCTGTGTCAAAATTGATTAGTCTCCCTTTCATTGTTTTCCAAATGTAATGTAAGCCAAATGCATTTGCTTCAATTTAGCAGAATTGGATTGATTTTTTTTCCCCTAGAACTCATCAATGGGCAAGACTGTCCTTTCTAGATTGTCTTTAAGAAGTATTTAAATTTTTTTCTCAAAATGGTAGTTTTTCATTAGACTTAAGAGGAAGTTAGAGGTCCAAAGGTTATTGGTATGAGAGGAGTGATATGCAAAAGACTTCAATTTCTATCTTTTCTTAGAAAAATGCTGCTACCCACCAGTCAGCATTTTGTTCCATGCAAGGGGTGTCAGTCAGTTGATCTGTCATTTTTTTACCAGGTAGAAAAGTTGCTTTTTGTCGT